CGTAACACTCCAAGCAATTGTTTCAAGTCATAAACCCGTTATTATTGCATTTACGAAAAAATACCAAAGGAGAAAGAAAAATGGAAAAAGGTAAACACCCTTTCGACATTGTTATCATAACAGAAAATGATTTGTACGAGTAAGTATTTCATCATTCAGTAGCAATTCACGTATCGTAACTCAAGTACGAAAACTAAGAATTTGAAAAAGCGTAACTGTATTTCACTAAATACAAGAAAATGTATTTTACTACCAGTGAGAAACAAGATATGTACGACACTTTTGTGTTGTATGATGCAGATAATTTAAACGCAGTTATCCAAACAATAAAAAAACGTTATCAGAGATGTTTAGAATGTAATGAAGAGGCGTTTGAGCATTTTCTTCAATAAACACATTTTTTGAAAATATCTCGAGAACTAATAATTTTTTTGCCATGGTACCCTAATCACTTTTTATGTAGAATGAACAGAAGAATCGATCTGTGTAAAAAAGAGTATGCATTTCTATTTGAAGAAATGATGCAATTGTTAATTGCACATGCACTGCTGCATCTAAAAAAAATTTAAAGACCTACAGATGTAGTGCTCTTCGAACCATTTATCTTTCTCCTTTGGCTTTTTTTCGTAAATGCAATAATAACGAAGTTATGACTTGAAACAATTGCGTGGACCACCCTGTATGTTAATGTATGACATGACAGCATGTGTAAGGGTCAAGGTCATCGGAGCTGCCACCCCTAAACGTAAGATTTACCTAGATATCTTTTAGGCTGTTTAGGGCATTTTGTATGTGACCTAGAGATGTCAAAGTCGTATTTGGACTTATTGTTAGTCCTGTAAAATTTTATTGTAACGAATATATTGTTCGTGTCATGTATCTAAATTCATTATTCTGTTTACAGGTCATAAGTTACAGTTTAATTTTATTTTAGTTGTAGCTGTGTTCTATGTATTTTGTCGTGCATAGCTTATAATGCGAGGTGTTTCTCTTTTAAAAAGCTCTTTAAAAAATTAGTATTTTTCCACATTCAATCAGTCTCAGAAATTTTTTTTTATTAAAGTGTACACATTAGAACCATAAAAATATATTCTATCATGCGATCGGAAATTTTATTAATGTGATACAATGTTGATTAAATTTTCTATACAGATTAACATTTCTTTATGAAACTTGGCAGAAGCATTATTCAAAACATGTACTTTTAAAATATTTACAAAACATGAAAAGTAGATATTCTATACCAACAAGAAGTGTTCCTAAATATCAGTATTTTTCCCAACTTGAAAGGTGGTATTCCACTTTAATGTGAGACTTGTTTCCTGCTACTCTATTTCGCTCACTCTTACTGTAACCCCAGGCATTTTCTACTTCTAGAGTACCTATTCATGAGGCGGGACCTCAGTTCGAGATAATAATCGCTACCTACCCCGCTTTCAAGTGAACTGGCGCTTCGATCATATCACGTGAAAGTGAGAATTACCAGTAGGCCATATTTAAGAATAAACATTGTAATCGTCACCTGGTGTGATCTAATTCCATCGCATTAAAAACATTGATATTTTTCTATGTATCATTGTATCTTCACGAGAGTATTAATGATGATGATAATAATAATAATAATAATAATAATAATAATAATAATAATAATAATAATAATAATATTACTTTATTTACGGGCTGCAGTGCTACGCAGGTTGACCACTTGGCCTGCGTAGCATTAAATGCTACAAGTGAAGGGACGAACGTCTCCGGATCCGTTCGGAGGATGAGACAGACGTCCACATCGTCGGACGGTGGCCGCCGGAGGCGACGCGGCACGAATGATCATTCATTCGTGCCGCCTCGGAGCCCTGTCCGTCAGGAAGTGGCCGCGGTATCTCCCCAACTCAGCGGGGGAGATGCCGTGACACAAAGTGTTCCGGGCCAGGTACCTCCGCTGCTCCCAGACGCACTGGGCCATGGGCTAGTGGAGAGACAGCGTGTCCTCCACATGCTGCAGGCCCTCGGCACGCTCACTGCGCCGCCATTCGGGAACACACCCGCCCCTCGAACGCCTGATCGGAAACGAGACAGGGCCGTGGTTTCCAGCCCAGAGGAAGAGGCTGCCAGGGCGAAGAAGAAGCCGGCCGTGGACCAAGAAAAATGGTCCACGGTTGTGGGGAGAAAGAAGAGGGCGGACAAACCGTCTGATCCTCCACTCCCATGTCCAAAGCCGCGGAGAGGCGAGAAGGGGCAGATATCTGCCAAACCTCCGTCAACCGAAGAACTCTGCTCCTCCAAAGGAGCAGCGTGCAGTCGACGAAAGGCAAAAGAGGAAGAGGAGGAGAAGGCGCTGTCGCCCTAAAACTAGGCGGACGGCTGTCCTCCTAAAGCCGGCCGAGGGCGCGACGTACGCGTCCATTGTGGGCGCGATACGTCGCCAGGTCCGGCCGGAGGAAGCGGACACGGAGGTCCGCCAAATAAGGAGGACGCGGGAAGGGGCCGTCCTTCTGGAGCTTGGGCGATGTGGGGACAGCGACAGGTTCCAGTCCGCGCTCCGGTCGGCGGTGGGGGACACCGCGGCAGTACGGGGTCTGAAACCCTGCGCGACGATTGAAATCCTCGATCTTGATTGCGTCACGACCTCAGGAAAGGTCATGGACGCGGTCGCGCGGGTGACAGGGGAGTCGCCGGAGGAAATCCGCGTCTCCGTTCTCGCGACGAACCCCCGAGAGCTGCGGAAGGCCGTGGTGGAGCTTGGCGAAGGAGCTGCCGTTAAGCTCCTGGCCGCCGCCAAGCTCAAGATCGGCTGGGTGAATTGCCGCATCCGGCGCTGGACGGAGGTTTAGTGTTGCTTCCGGTGCCTGGGCTACGGACACACTCGTAGAGAGTGTAAAGACCCGGACCGGAGCAACGCTTGCCGCAAGTGCGGCAAGGATGGCCACAAGGCGGCGGCGTGCGAGGACACCCCCCACTGCCATTTGTGTGCGGGGATAAAGGACGCGACAACGGACCACTACGCGGACTCGGGGAAGTGCCGGATCTTCCAGGAGATCCTCGCCGCAAAGAAAGGTAAGCCCTCTTCGCGGCTACGGTAAGGATCCTCCAGAGAAACCTGAACCGGTGTCGACTTGCCGATGACTTGCTAACGCAGCTCGCTATGGAAAAGCGAGCTGCAGTCGTCATCGCAAGCGAGCAGTACCGCGATCGGGAATGCTCCACCTGGTTCAGGGATGATCTCGGCACCGCGGCAGTGTGGATCACGGATCCACGGAGAGTCCGTATAGACTCTCACGGGGATGCCGCGGGACACGTCTGGGTCACCAGCGGTGTCCTCGCGTACGTCAGCTGCTATCTGTCCCCAAATGATAGCATCTCCGAATTTCAGGGAAAGCTCGACGTGCTGGAGGACACCCTACGCGACAAGTCCGGTGACTTCAACGCCCGAGCCTGCGAGTGGAGGATGCCTCGCCCCGACATGAGGGGAAGGTTGATGGTCGAGATGGCCTCCAGACTGGGACTCGTCGTGTTGAACGTGGGTCAACGCCGACGTACCGACGCCCTGGATTCGGAGACTCGATACCGGATGTCACCCTGGTGTCTGAGGATCTGGTCCAGAGAGCGGTGAACTGGAGGGTGATTGGTGATTTCACCGGTAGCGATCATAGCTACATCACCTTCCAGTTGATCGGCGAGCGGCAAGCGCGGCCTCCGGGGATTAGACGCCCGAGAAGATACGTACCTCTCGCCTGGATGAGGATAGGCTCTACGCCACTCTCCAGGCGGGCGTGGAGGCCGTGCCGCAGACCCCGCGTGATCCGTCCGATAGAGCGGGTGCCGAAGCCATCGTGCGCGGCAACCTTAACCTCATCCGACGGGCATGCGACGAGTCAATGCCAAGGAGGAGGCCATTCTCCGGCCGGCGGCAGGCGTACTGGTGGACCGACCATATCGCCTCCCTCAGGAGAGAATCCCTGAGGCTCCGGCGACGAGCTCAACAAGCTCGAAGTCGACCGGAGGCCGCCGCGCTGTCGGAGGACTACAAGGCGGCCAAGAAAGCCTTAACTCGTGCGATCAAGCAGAGTAAAGCGCGACGGGTACAAACTCGTTCGAACGCGTTCAACACGGCACGGTGGACAGACATGTTGGAGACGTTGGAAATAACGTTTCGGCTCCCGGAGTATCTACTGTCAGTGATGGTGGATTATCTCCGGGACCGAAAGCTGTTGTACGAGACGTCGGACGGGCTCCGTGAACGACCGATCACTGCGGGTGTTGCGCAGGGATCGGTCATGGGGCCCGACCTGTGGAACGTCATGTACGACAGCCTCCTCCGCATGGGTATGCCAGAGGATTCGTTCCTCGTCGGCTATCGTAGGAGACGGCACCCCCGACAACATCGTGGGGGTGATGCTGCGGGGGCCGACCGAATGGGAAGCGGTCGCGCACTACGTGGAGCGTGTGCTGCGTCGCAAGAGAGAGAAGGGATGCCTGGAGGATACTCCGGGCTGATCAACTGTGAAACCCAGTGCTCTCAAATTTGCAAAAACAAGATAGTCTTCATACAGATTACTCCGCTTGTACGCGGATTTATTATCGACGGATTCCAAAGATTCTTGAAATGAAAATAAGTTCAAGGATGATCGCATTCATAATCCTTTAAATTATATATATTTAAATGTTTCCGAAAGTGGTTTGAATAACGATTAAAAATAGTTTAAATCATATCTGGTTTGGACTCACTTTCAATACACAAACATCGTCAATTCATCGATAATACTTTCAAGCAGATGGTGGGTCACTAGAAAGAGATCATCATATTAATATTTTTTTAGAATCAGAATAAGTGTTGCCGACGAAAAGTGTATGGCTATAAAGAAGACATAATATGGTAGTAATATCGTCTTTGTAGATGATGTAGAGGAAATTTGACAATCAAGTTCATTTTCTGCAGTTCGATGACTAATTTTATATGACATAATGAAATGGAGTAATGAACTCTAGAAATAGAAATATTAAATTGTATTTAATTTTAACCGACTTCAAATAAAGAACTACAAAGGGCGAAATAACTTTTTAAGTTCTCTAATGGCAACATTTTATCCAATAAATTTTGAAGTAGCTACCCTAACTACCTTATGTATAGTAAGGTTTAAATTTATCGACTGAAGTTATTTGACACCGACTTAAAAAAGTAATTAACTAAAATAATTACATTCATAATGTAATTGAAATATTATATTAGATTTTTACTCATTGGATAAAATTTTGTCATAAGAAAATTTGAAAAATTATTTCATTTTGAAGTTGATTAAATTTTGTTTTAATTTTAAGACTAATTATTTGTACAATAATAACATGTTCACTGTCCACTGAATCATATTCGGGCCAGTGTAGTCCCTAGTCACGCATCCCCTCAATCACCGCGAACATGTGAGTCAGGAGTGTTCAACAAGAGAAGTATTCAATGTATTTCTGAAATAGAAGAAAGTTTATATTAATAATTCTGCATAAGTAGATTTATTGTGAGTGCTATTTATGTGGAAACAATACCGTAATCGTATATTACAATTAATTACACGATAACATTATACCATAATAAGAAATACAATATGTATAAGGGACAATCCAAGCCCAATCCTACTAAATAAATACTTTACCCTACTAAATATTTTTTTGTGATTTTTTTCAAATTTTTTTACTCAGCCAAAGAAAAGATAGGAATTCTACAAAAAATCGGCGTTCTTCTTTTAAATAGCTGTAACTGTTCAAAAAATTGATCAAATAAGACGGTTTTTTTTTCAAAATATTTGTTTTTGAATGATCTTTACGAAAAAAATACAAAATATTTGAATTGAACTTCGTTTAAGAAGATAATCTAAATTTAAGAAGAGATTTCGAAGAAAAGAGCATGGAGAATCTTTTTCTGCATATTTTCATGATAAAACAATTTTCGCGAATCGAGTGCCAATTGATGACGAAGAATTGCTTGATTATGTCATTTATGGTATACTCAACATGCGCCTACGTGACCAAGCTCGTATGCAACGATTCCAAACAACGTCCGAGATTCTGTAAGCGTTCGATGACATTTTGCTGCAAGAATATAGTATAAACCTTATGACGATCCGAAAAATGTACAACACAAATATGCTGTCGAGAAGAACGAAAGCACCGAGGCAAATTTAAAAATATTTCGATGCTAAACCTTTCTGGGCATCTGTCTGCAGACTGTCCGAAACCACGACGAGAAAAATGATCCTGTTTCCAGTACTTCTCGCCGAATAACAGATTGTCCGAAACGTTACGGGAGCCGAAACGTCGAGGAAGCTCAGAAGACGAGAAGGTTATTTAACATAATTTAGTATAAAGAAAATAGAAACTATTTCATACTTTTAAGCAATTATATCTAGAACTCGTGAGTATTCGTATCAATCAACTAGAAATTATTTCATGCTTTTTAGTGGAGTTGTCAATATTTTTCCGAAGTCGGTTATATTTTTGTTTCTAAAAATTATTTTATTTTTCTCATAAAAATATGTATATTAACATTTTAGTTATAGTGTGTAGGAATTAAATTTTCCCAGTAAACATGGAGGGCTCATTTCCGTAACAATTACATAACGTTCTATATGTATATATTACAGATCATGAGAATGAAACTATAACGTATCAATTATGTCACTAACGTAATGGGTCTATAATTGTTTCATAGAATTGTTACGTAATTTTGTTGTTACTTTGTTATGTAACAGTTACGCAATTGGGTGAACGTAAATGTGCATACTCTAAAAGTTTCGTAAATGCTTCGTAACTATGTAGTAATGCGCACGAGACGAGACGAGATTTCAACGATCTCGATCTTGATCTCGAAGAATCTCGAAACATGCATATCGATCTCGAATTTTCGAGAATATCGAATATGATCTCGATCTCGATCTCGATCTCGACGAGATTTCGACGAGATCTTGACAAGATTGGCAATACAGTTTAAAATATGCCATCTATTAAAGTTTTTGCAGAAAAGTATGTATACTGTATGATGTTCCTACCTAACCTTTCTTAAAAAATGCAAAAGTCTTAGTCTTTACTCTCGACAAAAAATTAGTTATAAAAGTTATTGCCAATTATTTGCGCGTCTTCTGAAGTTATTGATAATTCTACTGGATGTCTTGTAACTCTCCTATGCTACATGAAACACCCTGTATATGTTTGAACTAAGAAATACAAAAAACATAATGTAATAAGTTATGCGAACTAATCGAACTGCTTGGCTCTGTGACCTCTTCTCTCGAGGTGTTCGAAAACTGCGAAAACCGGCACCGTTTACCCGATTAAATTCAATAAACGCTGCACGTGTACGATCTTTGTTGCGCATAGTATCGCGCCTGGTTCAAAAACAAAGGATCAGAGTGCCCGCCGACTGCCGGTCGGAACTAGCACTTAAAGTAGAAGCGACTTATAATATTAACAAAGTTGTATCTGGCATCGTTTGATAGCACAGCAGTCACGGCGTCATATGTGTTGGGGATCGGCAGTATAATAAAACATCTTGTCGAGATTTTGACAAGAATTTGAAATAATCTCGATAAACTGAATCTCGATCTCGAGATCGAAATTTATCTCGTCTCGTGCGCATCATTATTCGTAACTCTACTAACGTAATTAAAACGTTACGTTAAATACGTAGCAGTTATGAATTTTTGTGAATGTAAACGTGAATACTCTAAAAATTGCATAAATGTTATGTAACTTTAACGACATAAGTGTAGCGTTATGTTAAATATGTAACCTTAATATTATTTTATTGATATCAATGTATACATTTTTGTTAAAATCTTGTAGAGAATTGCGCAGAAACAAGAAAAATGAATATATTTGTTTATAACTTAAAAGCGATAAATATGACGATCATGCCTTTTTTAAAGAAGATCTTAAAAAAAAGTAATGTTAAGGTTACATATTTACCATAACGTTACACTTATGTCGTTAAAGTTACATAACATTTATGAAATTTTTAGAGTATTCACGTTTACATTCACCGAAATGCATAATTGGTACGTATTTAACATAACGTTTTAATTATATTAGTAGAGTTATGGAGCATGTATAAAACTTTTAGAGTATACACATTTATATTCATCAAAATTCGTAAATGTTACGTGTTTATTATAACGTTTCAATTATGTCGTTAAAGTTATGTAACATTTACCAAACTTTTAGAGTACGCACATTTACGTTCACCAAATTGCATAAATGTTACATAACAAAGTAACAGCTAAATTACGTAACAATTCTATGCAACAATTACAAACTAATTACGTTATTGATGTAACTCATATGTCATAATTTTGTTTTGTTCGATTATTCCCTGGGTTAGTATTTTATTTTCAGTATGGCCAATTTTACGAAGACAGTAGTCGTGTGTGCTAAAAAAATTGTGTTAAAAGTGTGAACAGTATTGAGATATTGGTAAGTATGAAATATAAATTCTCTTAATAATTAATGGCAATAAGTGATAATTGTTATCTTGTGGTAAAAAATCTATGCCAATGTAGGCAATTGTACGTACTGCCTTTGCACAACGGCGTCGCTGCCGACAAACGGCACCGCTACCAACAATTGGCACCGCTTTTCGGTGATCTGTTAGGAAATTCGAGACAGTTAGCCTAAACGCAAATTGGCGCATGGACGACAGGGCGTGATGCTGCGACGCCAGGCCCCGTCATAAATAACGTCGAAGGCCCTTCAAGAGCCTTCATTTGACGGGGCTACGCAGAGACTTTCCCAGGCCGGGAAAATCGCGAGTGTCACGTGTAAATTTGGACGTTTTTACGCGATTGTGCGAGTGCAAGTGCCACCTGAACACGTCAGTGTCAGCAGCGAGGTTGTCTCAGTATTGTGTACCCTTTTGTGGTTGTGCCGAGCGTAATAGCGAACAATGGGCCGTCCCAAAAGAAGGCGACAACGCTCGCGTGATTTCTCACGGGGACGTTCACGCGAACGTGAGCAATCGAAGGACCGCGTACGCAGAAGTGGGAAAGTGCGAGGTGATTCGCGAGACCGTTCGCGAAACCGTTCGCGAAACCGTTCGCGTGGTTATTCGCGAGATCGCTCGCAAGGCCGCTCTCGAGATCACTCGTGCGATCGAGCGCAATACCGCTCTCGGAATTACTCGCGCGATCGAGCGCGTAGCCGCTCGCGGGATTGCTCGCAAAATTGCTCCCGGAACCGTTCGCGAAACCATTCGCGAGATGGCTCGCGGAATCGCTCGCGAACAGTTTCGCGAGATCGCACTCGCCGTCGGCGACATTCGTCGAGCGGTTCCGACTCGGAGAATTTGCGGGACACGGTCAGGCGACTCAAGCAAGAGCTAAGAAACGTGACGTATCGGCCCGTAAACGATGAATTTGTGATTCCAAAATTCGATCCATTGCGAGACAACGCAGATGTCGAGCAGTGGGTGCGACAAGTGGACCGACTTGCCCACCGATACCGATGGACAGACGACAATATCTTACTGGTCGTCGCGCGGAATCTGAAGGGTCATGCACGTCGTGTGTACGACGAAGAAATGGCCAACGACCATACCTGGGGATCGCTGAAATCGGTGCTGAAACGGCGGTTCAAGAAACCGTTGTCGTTTGCTCGGTTGCTGCTGGAAGCCGCAACATACACGGCGAGCCCCGGACAACGATCGGGCGATTACTGCTTCGAAAAACTATCAAAGTTGCGAGCATTGAAACTGAGAATTCCAGACAGCTGCCTGGAGGATGCGGTTATTGGCGGGATAGCGGACGAAAATATTGCCCGGACTATTCGGTCGAAAAAATACAACGACATCGACGAGCTGTATGCAGCTATGCACGAGATGGGGTCGATGCCGCGAGCGACAGAACCGAAAATTATTCCACGGCCGGTGGCATATCAGCGTGGGCCTATGAACAAGACCGTGCCGACGGCTTCTACGTCGACGGCGAAGCTGACGTCATCCACGCCGGCGGAGGCTACCCAACGGCCATCAATTGTCTGCTTTAATTGCGGGACGGTTGGTCACATTTCGGTAAAGTCTCCTAAAACAGCGGTCATCTGTAAATCCTGCGACAAAAAGGGACACCTGGATCGATTTTGTTCCCGACCCAAACGCGTGAATGCGACTCAGGTGAGTTTGTATACAAGCAATATGTATTTATTACCGGCCACGATTAACGGTCGTAAGATCACGTGTCTTGTGGACACAGGAAGTTCGTCCACGTTGATGCAACGTCCGGTGGCAATTCGGTTGAATGTTAAAATTGTTAGAGACAGCGAATTGGAATTGCGAGGTTTCTCCGGAATGGGGGCTGTTAGCGATTCATTCGCTAGTATTGTCATTAAAATAATGGAAGCCTTAGCGACGGTACGAGCCATTGTTGTAGACTCGCAAGAGATGCAATATGAGGTGATAGTCGGACGAGATTTCTTGGATCAACCGCACGTTGTATTAATTAAGAATAGAGACGGCGTCGCAATACGAGAACTGCCACGAATCGAGAGCATCCAGCGCGATATCGTGGATGTCTATACGATAAAAGCCGACGGAATGCATCAACTCGTTTTCGGAGACATTGGCGAGAATGAAAAGCGATTATGCGAGTAATTAATTAGGCAGTACGCGGATGGAGTCACAACGTCAATGCGAACGCTTGGTAAAACCAACACCATAGAAATGGAGATTCATTGTACAACCGATGCTCCGGTTTGTTACAATCCGTACCGCATGGCGGAGGTCGAACGCGAAATTGCGCGAAAGATGGTCAAAGAGTTGATGGATAACGATATCGTCCGGGAATCCGTGACGCCATATGCGAGTCCAATTACATTGGTGAAAAAGAAGACGGGCGATTATCGGCTGTGTGTGGATTATCGACGTTTGAACACGATAACTGTTAGGGATCGGTATCCGTTACCATTAATAGAAGATCAGATCGACCGACTCGGAGGTAATAGATATTTTACAGCGTTGGACCTGGCGTCCGGGTACTATGAGGTACCGATGAGTGCGGATTCGGTAGAGAAAACGGCCTTCATTACACCGGACGGGCACTACGAATTTCTGCGAATGCCGTTCGGGCTCACGAATGCCCCTGCTGTTTTTCAACGACTGATCAATGCAGTTCTGGGGTCGTTGGTAGCCTTCCCATACATTGATGACATTATAATACCGTCGACCACTATTGCGGAAGGACTAGAGCGTCTACAATTGGTTCTTGATAAGTTGCGGGAACATCATTTGACCCTCGACATAAGTAAATGTTCGTTCCTGATGACGACAATTGATTATCTCGGGCAAGAGATAAGTGCAGATGGTGTAAAACCAGGGAGCAGGAAGGTGGAAGCCGTGATGGCCATGCCAAAACCAACCTGTGTTCGAGGAGTGCGCCAATTCTTCGGTTTGGCGGGATATTTCCGCAAATTTATTAAAGATTATGCGACTTTGGTGACCCCATTGACGACATTGACTAGGAAAAATGTTACGTGGACTTGGGGAGCGATGCAGGAGAGCGCGGTCGCGGCGATCAAAAAGGCGCTAATAACGCGTCCCGTCCTCGCGATTTTCAATGGTGCGCTCAAGACTGAGTTACACACCGACGCCAGCTCTTTGGGTTTAGGTGCTATACTATTTCAGTATACGGCGGAAGGTGAGCGACGAGTAGTCGGATATTTTAGTAAGCAGACGACGCATGACCAGAGCAAGTACAATTCTTACGAATTGGAGACGATGGCCGTGGTGTTTGCTCTTCGACACTTCCGAGTGTACTTGCTTGGGTTGAGTTTCACGGTCGTTACGGATTGTAACGCGCTTCGTACGACGTTCACCAAAAAGTATTTGGTGCCGCGAATTGGACGATGGTGGTTGGAAGTGCAGGATTTCAATTTCGCCATCGAGTATCGCGCGGGCACGAGAATGCAGCACGTTGACGCGCTGAGTAGGAATCCTGTGCCAAGCGTAGACGTTTACCCGGTGGATGTGACTGAGGCGGATTAGATTTTGTCGGCTCAATTACAGGACGAGCAGTTGTGTCGGGTCCGTAGGATTCTCGCGGAGAATGTACGGAATACTGACACCAAGCAGTATTTCTCCAATTACTTATTAAAGGGAGTTAAATTTACCGACGGTTGGATGACGGACGCGTTGCGTGGGTTGTACCGCGCGCGGCGCATTTTCAAATTTGTCGCTTGTGTCACGACGATGCGGGGCACTTAGGATTAGAGAAGACTTTGCGGCGGATCCGCGAAAATTATTGGTTTGCGGAGATGACGCAATTTGTAAAGAAGTATATTAGATCGTGTCTGAGTTGCGCCTATTATAAAAAGACGACAGGAAAGAAACAGGGAAAACTCCACCCTATTGAAAAGACTCCGGTGCCCTTTCACACGCTGCATGTCGATCATGTTGTCCCGTTCGAGACGAGTGCCAAAAGGAACAAGTACCTGCTGGTCATTGTGGACGCCTTCACGAAGTTCACTATTATTGAACCCGTGAAGGACACGAAATCGAAGCGCGCAGTAAAGATATTGTTGAGTATTGTTCATCTGTTTGGGGTACCAGCGCGGATTATTAGCGATAGAGGCACCGCTTTAACGGCAAGAGCATTCAAGATATTCTGTACCACGTACGGGATCCGTCATGTTTTGAATGCAGTTGCTACGCCTCACGCGAATGGGCAGTGCGAGCGATATAACAGAACGATTGTCGCGTGGTTAGCCGCTACTGCAGCCGGCAAGGAGTCGGACCGTTGGGACGAATACGTCAAACAGGTGCAGGGTGCCCTAAATACCACATACAATAAGAGCATTGCGGCGACGCCTACAGAGGCGTTGATGGGGTATAACCCGAGGACCGTTGCAGATGCCCGGCTTCTGCAGAAAGTGCAGACGGAGATGCACCGGTTAGACCTCGGCGATTTGCGAGGGAAAATCTCAAGGCATATCACGGAAGATCAGAAGCAGCAGAAGGGGCGCCCATCGATCAAGCCCGTCGAGAAGCCACGCAGTACCGCGAGGAGGATTTGGTGATGGTGGAGATCACCAGCGAACGCGCCACGGGAGAAAGTAGGAAGCTTTTCCCAAAATTCAAGGGGCCGTTCCGGAACCATCGGATGCTTGGTAACGACCGGTACGAGGTCGAGGATCTAAGACAGGGAGGTAGAAAGGCCAAAACGGTAGTTGCAGCCGACCGGCTGAAACCATGGATTGCGGTCATTGAATAGGAAACTATGGGAAACTAAAATGTTTTATGTTAGTTAGTTCTCAGGAGATAGAAGAGGACGGGCTCGTGGCTATAGGTGGTCGGTGCCGTCGCCCACGGAATATGCGGTTAATGAGGGATCCCTGAGCTGAGTGTAGCAGAGCTGGAGAGCGAGGCCCGCTGAGGGGATTTAGACACCGACGTCCGAGTCACCAGACGATGGTGGAGACTGGCCACCACGGTGACGAAGATTTACGTACCATTCACAGGATAGTGATGTCTAACCGCTATCGAATGGTACAAGATTTGGCTATCATGACAATGGTGATGTGTGGTCACCATTGTATGATAGCGAGGGGGACCACTAAAGGGATAGTGGTGTGCAGCCACTATCGAGTGGTCCCATGTTATGCCGTCAGGCCGATAGTGATGTCTAGCCGCTATCGGATGACGATGAAAGAGATATCACGGTAATGGTGTGGTGCACCATTACGTGATTGTATGGATTCAGCGAGAGGCCACGCAGAGTTGCAGTTGAGCAACAGAAGGACAAAATCGTCAACGTCAACGGAGATCCAAGGATGTCGCGAATGTCTTGCGACGAGGCATCGCTTTGAGTCGTCGACAGCTGAACGGCGTTATCTACGTAATCATGGAAAAAGAGAGAAAGGCCAAATAATCGTGGGCTTTCTTAGAAAAGGGGAGTATTATATTGTTGTAGAGGGACCTTTTTGTTAATAAGAGAAAGGTCTACACGGAAAGTTTTTGGCCAATATCAAAAAACCGGCTAGATACTCAGGCCAATCTTTGATTTTTTGTGTTACAGAAAACGACGTAAGCAAAGGCTAGCTGCGACGAGGAGAACATCGCTTGAGGCAAGCGAAAATGCAGGCTGGCCGAGTGTTAGGAAATTCGAGACAGCTCGCCTAAACATTGGCGCATGGACGACAGGGGGTGATGCTGCGACGCCAGGCCCCGTCATAAATAACGTCGAAGGCCCTTCAAGAGCCTTCATTTGACGGGGCTACGCAGAGACTTTCCCAGGCCAGGAAAGTCACTTCTTGGCCAGCTATCGTCGTATACAGAGCTCCACGAATAAAATCTCATTGTTAAAGAATATTCGGCGTTTTACGCCTTGCATTTATTTAATCGTCTTATACATCGGTGGCCACTATCGAACACGTGTCACGAAGCACCAGGTTGTGTGTATGTATGTCCGTATGAATTTTTGTATGTGTGAATTAGTATTTAAAAAGAACTGAAGAAAGACCAAAGTCAGTCGAAGCTTGAACTCTTTAGAGACCAGTTCATCATAAAATCTATACAGTAAAGTTTGTGCAGTAACATTATTTTCGTTATGATTTTTTACAATATTTTTTGCACGGTTATTTAATGAGAAAACAAGAAATCTTTTATTTGCACTACTTTTTGAATCAGAAGCTTGAATATTTCGAGTGTAAAGTAACATCATCTCTTAATTATAGATTTATTTTGTATTGCATTGCACACTAAATTTCGGTCTAGAATTTTTTTAATGTTTCTTAAAATCCAAAAATCACAAACTTCAGGCATATGGAGAACTGAAACTCGAAACCGTTTGAGATAATACATGCCTTCAAATATTGCGATGTTTGTTTATTTTCGGGAATTATTTTGATATTTGCAAAATAAAAATTTATTAATCATTTACAGTATTATCTAGGTGGCTGCTGGGCACAATCGACGATTAAAATCATTTACTTTCCGCCGAAACTTGGATTACCTTCCCCATTGATAGGAAAGAACGGTGCGTCACGTGTAGGGGTTGTCGAAAGCAGTTAGTCGGTCGCTGCATGGCTATCGCAAAATTTATGACAAGGTCGCGGAGTTACCGTGTCTTGGGGAAGTGGTTGTAAAAACGAGGTATCCAACATCGACGGCCGCTACCTCCAAGTCGACCGGCAATGGGTTTGTCTTACGATTGACTGTTCGGCGAAACATGTGTTCAGACAACGCGACGTTGCATTTCGTTAAGAGAGAAACGTTCCTAAGGGATGGGGGCCAGGTAATGAACAAGGGTGGGAGTGTTTTCTGGAAATAAAACTGTTTTTCTCCAGAATTCAGTTTCGAAGTGACCGCCGCAGTGTCAACTGGGAAAAAATGGTGCGCTAAAATCAAGAATGGTTTGAAATATTTTGCGTGTATGTGGAGTGCGGGCGCAATTCGGAGGAGGCAGCGCGGTGTTATCGCCAACGATATCCGCGATCGCGGCCGCCGACTTCCAGAGCATTCGGCTATTGGCAACGCGGCTTTATTCGGATGGGGTCCTCCAACCGAAGTCTGCCGATTCGGGACGCCCTCGCCTACGTTCCGCGAATTCGGAGGAAGACGTCCTGGATCGTATTGCTGAGGATCCCACCCAAAGTGTGCGCGACGTAAGCCGCAACTCGGGGTAAGTTTAACTTTTTACCGCTTTCGTGTTTGTTGTCGGAATTATGTATTCTATTCATATTAACTATTTATGTTGTATTTCAGCGTCAGCCGGTCGTCGATGCACCGAATTCTTCGGGAGAATTCTCTGCACCCATACAAATATGTGCGGGTGCAGAATTTACTCCCAGAGAATTATGAAAAAAGGGTGGCGTATTCTTTCTCCAATAATACAAATCGGCCCCTTTCGGGGCCACCAAATATTGGGTGCAAAGGACTCGATGCAAAGTGATAGTGACCGTGGAAACCCCTGTGTAAAGTTCAGTGAGTTCAGTGACCGGCCGTCCCATCAGCTGAGCCGCGTAGCAGGTACCAGGCCAGGATCGGTGCGATGACCCACTCGCCGCAGCCCTTCTTCACGAAAACAGGTCAACTTACAAGTCAATGGGTGAGTCTAATTTTAATTCTGCCTTCACATGTTAACCCTTAGAAGCCTGATTTTCCAAATTAAATTTTAAAAAATATCAATATATTTATGATTTGAACAATTTTGACAACTGACGTTTATTTTTTCAACTTTTGTTCAAAAGAACATTATGCAATGGTAACATACATACAGCCAAATATTAAAAACAAACCAATTGCAAGTGTACAATTCGATTTAAAAGTTCGGTATCAAATTTGAAACTTAAGGCATTTAAGGGTTAATTTCAGGCATTTTTATTACTGGTATTTTTACGTTATAACACATGAAATGCCTCATTTTGTATTGGCAAATTTTTTTATCCACTTTCTCGAAAAATATTTCTATCCTTCAGATCTTTGGCGCATTAATGCAAAGTTTAGAGTCTCCTTCATTTTAATTTTCAAACATTTACATATTTTCACCCATTTTCTTATAGTTGCAAGTTGTACATTTTAACGATTCTCATGTTAAAGTTAGATTCAAATTTATTATGATAAATTGTCATTGAAATTTTTTAACGATTACGTATTTGAAGGTAGGAAACGTGTAATTTCTTCATTAAATGTACAGATTTCGATACCTCCTATCTTGATCAGTAACGTTTAATATAAAGAAAAAGTTATATTTGCTTAAAGTTTTCATTATAAATCAGACGTTTCATGTGCTACAACCTCACACTGGTATTAAAGCGTGCTGTTTTACCGGCCCGCTTGTTCGCTGGCTCGAGCCTCCTTGCTTACGCCTATGCTCTGAGCGCGCGCTCCTCGGACGCTGTGATTGGTCAGTGTTTTTCGTTAATAATTCAAAAACGAAGCCCCATCCGACATTTTTGCAAAGGAAATTGTTGTTCAGAATCGTCTCAGCTATCCCCCATTTCTGGCTCCTCCCCGAGTTTTGGGACACCCTGTATACGCACACCAGGGCTGGGCGACCAGGTCAGGCGGGGAGGTGATACCCCGACGCGCCGCGTCCCCACGTCGTGGATAGGGGAACGATCGCCACGTACTCTTCGAAGTCCGGGGAGGGTAGGAGTGAAATAAAATAGCTCCCGCGGACCAAACACTAGGGGAGGAAACCCCGAATCAAAAACCAATCATGGAAAGTTCATTTACAGAGGAGAAATCTACGGTGCAGGGGATCGGATCCCCAGTACCGGTGTCCGTCAGAGGTGAGCAAGCGGGCCCCGGGACGTCGTTATCTGACGACCGCAGTGCTACGCAGGTTGACCACTTGGTCTGCGTAGCATTAAATGGTACAAGTGAAGGGACGAACGTCTCCGGATCCGTCCGGAGGACGAGACAGACGTCCACATCGTCGGACGGTGGCGGCCGGAGGCGACGCGGCACGGATGACAATCCATTCGTGCCGCCTCGGAGCCTGGTCCGGAGCCCTGTCCGTCAGGAGATGGCCGCAGTATCTCCCCAACTCAGCGGGGGAGACGCCGTGACACAAACTGTCCCAGGCCAGGTACCCCCACTGCGGAATCCTGGCTTTTGTGGGCCAGGGAATGTGGCCAGTTCTGATTGCGCCGATGCCAACGACCACGGTGTCGGGGATCGGGCGTTCAGAACTTTGGCGACCTTCAAGCGAGCGGAGAGCTCGCGAATAGCGGCGATGAAAACCGTCCTTCATGTCATGCGACAGGCATCCCTCAAACAGAGGAATGTCAGCATGGACATCAAGGACGGAATGCAGAAGCTGGCGGAGCCGGTGGACGGCCTGGGCCATGGACTAGTGGAGAGACAGCGTGTTCTTCACATGCTGCAGGCCCTCGGCACGCCCACTGCGCCGCCATCCGGGAACACACGTGCGCCTCGAACACGGCCTGATCGGAAACGAGACAGGGCCGTGGTTTCCAGCCCAGAGGAAGAGGCTGCCAATCCACGGTCCACGGTTATGGGGAGAAGGAAAAGGGCAGATAATAGACCTTCTGTTCCCCCTCCTCCACTTCTAAGGCCACGAGGGGGCGCAAAGGAGCAGTTATCGGCCAAACCTGCGTCAACGTCGACGGCACCGAGGAACTCTGCTCCTTCAAAGGAGCAGCGTGCCGTCGACGAAAGGCGAAAGAGGAAGAGGAGGAGAAGGCGCCGCCCTAAAACTAGGCGGACGGCTGTCCTCATAACGCCGGCCGAGGGCGCGACATACCCGTCCATTGTAGGCGCGATACGTCACCAGGTTCGGCCGGACGAAGCGGACACGGAGGTCCGCCAAATAAGGAGGACGCGGGAAGGGGCCGTCCTTCTGGAGTTTGGGCGCTGTGGAGACAGCACCAAGTTCCAGTCTGCTCTCCAGACAGCAGTGGGGGACATCGCAGCAGTACGGGGTCTTAAACCCCGCGCGACGGTCGAAATCCTCGACCTTGATTACTTCACGACCTTAGGGGAGTTCGTAGACACGGTCGCGCGGGAGACAGGGAAGTCTCCGGAGGAAATCCGCGTCTCCGTTTTCGCGACGAACCCTCGAGAGCTGTGGAAGGCCGTAGTGGAGCTTGGCGAAGGAGCTGCGGAAAGCCGTGGTGGAGCTTGGCGAAGGAGCGGCTGTTAAGCTCCTGGCCGCCGCCAAACTCAAAATCGGCTGGATGAATTGTCGCATCCGGCGCTGGACGGATGTTCAGCGTTGCTTCCGATGCGTGGACTACGGACACACTCGTAGAGAGTGTAAAGGCCCGGACCGGAGCAACGCTGGCCACAAGGTGGTGGCGTGCGAGGCCACCCCCAACTGTCATTTGTGCGCGGGGAAAAAGGACGCGGCGATGGACCACGTCGCGGGCTCGGGGAAGTGCCGGATCTTCCGGGAGATCCTTGCCGGAAAGAAGGGTAAGCCTCCAAGGTTCCCCTTTCCCCTTGTGACGCTGGACGTACGGAACGCGTTTAACACGGAGTATCTACTGCCAGTGATGGCGGATTATCTCCGGGACCGAAGGCTGTTGTACGAGACGTCGGATGGGCTCCGTGAACGACCGATCACTGCGGGTGCTGCGCAGGGATCGGTCATGGGGCCCGACCTGTGGAACGTCATGTACGACAGCCTCCTCCGCATGGGTATGCCAGAGGATTCGTTCCTCGTCGGCTATGCTGACGATGTCGCCGTGGTCATCACGGCGCGGACCGCCCAGCTGGCTCAGCTCAAGCTGAACCAGGTCATGCGCCGAGTGGGGGGATGGATGGAAGACCACGGGCTGCAGCTGGCGATTCCGAAAACGAAAATCGTCATGCTGTCACGTCGACGTATCCCCACCATCGTCCCGATGACTGTTGGGACCGAGACCATCCGGACCCGGAGGTCCACGAAGTACCTGGGTGTTGTCTTGGACAACAAGCTCAGCTTCGCGGAACATAGCCGCAGGGTCTCAGTCAGGATGGCGTCGTTGGCGACAGCACTTAGCCGACTAATGGCAAACATGGGCGGCCCGAAGCCGAGCAAGAGGAAACTCTTGCTCTCGGTAACCCAGAGCGTCCTGCTGTACGGAGCCGAAATATGGGCAGATGCCCTTCGGCTCCGTAAGTATAGAAGCTGCATGTCTGCCGTACTGCACCAGCTGGCGCTTCGGGTGGCGTGCAGCTACAGGACCGTCTTCGAGTGCGCAGTGCAAGCGGTCGCCGGGGTAATACCCATCGACCTGCGTGCATTCGAGCGGAAGAACATCTTCCAACGCTCCTCGGAGATTGGGCGGGCCGAAGCCGTGTCCCACGAGCGCGTAGCCACGCTAGGCGAATGGCAGCAACGCTGGGAGGCTGCCCAGCCGGGTCGGTGGACGGCTCGGCTGATAGGGGATCTGGCCACCTGGATATCCAGGGCCCATGGTGAGGTGAATTTTTACCTCATCCAGTTCCTCACAGGCCACGGATATTTCCGTGCGCACCTGTAGAGGATGGGCAAAGTCGGATCCCCGGGATGCCGGTATTGCGACGCAGCAAGGGACGACGCGCTCCATACGTTGTTCGTGTGTGACCGCTTAGCCAGAGATAGAGTAGATCTCTGTGCCCTCGTAGGATACGTCACCCCCTGACAACATCGTGGTGGTGATGCTACGGGGACCGTGCGAATGGGAAACGGTCGCGTACTACGTGGAGCGTGTGCTGCGTCGCAAGAGAGAGGAGGGATGCCTGGAGGATACTCCGGGCTCCCCCTAGCTTCGGTACTATTCGACCGGCGGAGGCCCTAACGGGGCTTAGTTGCTACGCCCCTGGACTATTGTTATGCGAAAGCAGGTCTGGTCCGGGGGGCTAACGTGGAAAGCGGGTGGTTTTTTAGCGAGTGCTGGCATCGTCCATCGGCCCCCGGTGCCTATGAAGGTTTTTCCACACCCCCCGCTCCCTCCCAAAAAAGAATATGCTTATAAGTAATTGTTATGTTTAATATAATTACAATACTAAAAGACATTACAAAAATATTTACATTAAATACATTGGAAAATTATGTAGGTTGTTTCACTATAATTGTGAAGAAAAAATTTCAAATTTTTTATATATAAATAAAATACTATTTAAGAAATGTAGATTACATTTTTTTTTTAAGATTCTATTGGCGTCCTTAAAATATTACATAATTTATATTTTAATTATCGAATTAGTTTGTTTAAAAAAAACTGCAAATGATAAAACATTTTTCATTTATCAAAATATTTTTAATTCTCCATCAGTTTCCTATATATTGTTTCAGTAATAAAAGAGAATGTTACGGTTTTAATATATGCGTATATTTATTCTCAAAACGTTGCCTACAGACGGGTCGAGACAGACTGACTTAAAACAAAAAGAATACATATTTATAAGGTCAAGGCGCAAACACATACACATACTTCCATACCCAGGCACACAAACACATAATTAAGAAACGGATACATATATATTCTCAACACTTCCTCTCGTTTCTTAATTCATTACACTTAATACATATTATATATTCTAACAAAATTTGACAATTTTCCTTTAGTGATTGCTTTAGTCATCATGTCAGCAGGCTGATGCGCTGAAGGAATGTAACATAATCAATTTGTTTTTCTTGCTATTTTTCACAAGTATAAAAGAATTGTACATCTATGTGCTTAGTTCGCTTCGCACATGTAGGGTTTAAAACTATAGATATTGCCCTTTGATTATCTGAATAAATCTTTGGTTGGGTCATGTTGTTCAAGGTGTAATTCTTTTAAAAAGGATCTATACCATGTGACTTCCTTTGCAACTGCACACAAGGCAATGAATTCCGCTTCGGTTGCAGATGTTGCAACGACAGTTTGTCGTTTCGATTTCCACGTAATGGGACCATCATTGCAAAATATAACCCAACCCGTTACACTTTTTCGCGTTAAGGGGTCATTTGCCCAATCCGCATCGCAATAAGCCGAAATATTAGTTTTGTATGTATTTACGGTGTACGTTATATCATACGAAATAGTACCTTTTAAATATCTTAAAATACGTTTTATCGCTGCCCAGTGAATGTGTTTTGGATTTTGCATAAACTTGCATAATACATTCACAGAGAAGGCTAAATCAGGTCTGCTTACATACATCAAAAACATCAGCAAACCCATCGCCCCACGATACGGAAAATTATTATTACATTCGTCTTCATTATTTTCATCAGGATAAAAGATGTGATTTCAGAGTTCGATAGGAGTAGAGATGGCAGAGCAATTTGCATGATTAAATCTTTCTAATATCTTTTTGGCATATGCCTCCTGGTGAATTTTTAATCTTCGCCGTCCTTACTTTTTTCGATTTGGAGTCCTACAAAATGTTCAGCGTCTCCATAAACAATTTCAAAGTCTTGTTGTAAATCTTTTATCATACTCAAAATGAAATCAGCATTATTTCCGCATATTAACCCGTCATCGACGTATATTACTACGTAGACTAAAATGTTTAATTCTGGGTTTTTATAAACAAAAATACATGGATCAGCATGGATTTGTACGAAGTTTCTTCTAGTCAAGAAAAGTACTATTTTCAAATTCCATTTACGAGGCGCCTGTTTTAGAACATAAAGACTACGTTTCAATAAGCAAACTAAATTATCATGTGTTTCAAAACCGCATGGTTGCTCCATGTATATCGGTTCATCCAAATTGCCATGCAAAAAGGCAGTTTTTACATCAAATTGAATCATTTTTAAATTTAAGGCCACTGCAATCGACAAAATCAATCTTATAGACTCATACCTTGCTACGGGTGAGAAAGTTTCCTCGTAATCAATACCTGGTTTTTGTGAACATCCTTTAGCAACAAGTCGCGCCTTAAATTTATCAATTTCACCGTTAGCTTTGTATTTTGTTTTGAACACCCAACGGTTTTTGATTACGTTTTTATTTATCGGTCGCGGTACAAGTATCCATGTTTTATTTGTCTCTAAAGTATTTAATTCATCGTTTATAGCATGCAACCAATTATTTGAGTTCGGAGAATTCAACGCATCTTCAAGTGAAACAGGTTCTACAGTAGCTAGAAATACTTGCTTGCTTGACGTTGAATTCTTTCTGAGGGGGTAAGGGTCCCTCAAAATTGGATAACGTGGATTCTTGTAGGTGCGCTTATTCTCAGAAACATTCTGTTCCTCTGGTTTAAATATTATCGGCGATTTTTGTGACTCGGTATTTTGATTATAATTTAAATCATCTCTTTGTAAAACAATATTTAGTTTTTTATTTTCATTTTCTTCATTAAAAATAACATCCCTTCGAATGTACAAGGTTCGTTTAGATGGGTCATACACACGATAAGCTTTGCTTTCATCATAAAAACCAACTAAAATACATTTTACAGTATTGTACTCCCATTTGTACCTTTGACTTTTCGGCACATGAACATAACATTCACTACCAAAGGTTGTGATATGTTTCAAAGATGGTTTTTCATTAAACCACAGTTCGAAAGGCGTCAAATTATTAATAGTTTCAGAACTGGTACGATTTTTTAAATATACAGCTGTGTTTACAGCTTCGCCTCATAGGTAAACGGGCAGATTTATCGTAGCTAATATTGCTTTGGCTGATTCTACAATTGTGCGATTTTGTCGTTCTATAAAGCCGTTTTGTTCAGGCGTTCTAGGGGTTGAAAAACTGTGGTGAATACCTTTCGTATTTAGAAAATCTTCAACACCAGAATTGTCAAATTCTAAACCTCGATCAGACCTTATTTTTCTTATTTGATAACCTTGCGATGTAACGTCGGCGTAAAATCTTTTAATGTTAACTAAAACTTCAGTTTTATCTTTTAACAGGTATACAAAACAAAATCTAGAAATCGTCTTTCAGTAGCATAAAGTAATTAGCACCACCACTTGAGGTATTTTGCATTTTTCCGCATAAGTCTACATGAAAAATTTCGCCTGGCTTTTTAGAACGAACCGCTTGGTTCTTAGGAAAACTTCCTCGATGTTGTTTTGCCTTAATACAAGGTTCACAAAACGGATTTACCTCAGATAAATTGTTAATATATAAATCTTGAACCGCAGAGTTTTTACTCATTATTCTTAGGGTTTTGAAATTTGGGTGACCTAAGCGCTTATGCCATTGCATTAAACTCGAACTCGTAGCTATATTTAATTCAGCTTTTAAAATTTTGCTTGTGAAGAAATTCAATCGATACATATTGTTTTCTTTGAAACCGGTTACCAATACCTTATATCTTTCATAAATCGTACAGTATTTCCACTTTCATCAAAAATTACCTGAAACCCTTTCATCGCACTCTTAGCAACAGAAATAAGATTTTCTATTTCAGGTACAAACAAAACGTCTACAATAGTGTGTGTAACGATCGCAGTATCATTGAATTTAACCTTAACATAAAGGTAATTAAAAGGTAATAACCTTAACTTAAATTGTTACCAACGCGAACAAAATAAGAATTCTCTTCGAAAGATTTAAAATTTACAAGCCAGTCGCGCCTGAAAGTCATGTGCTCTGATGCACCAGAATCCGCAAACCAATAATCTACCGCTTTATTTTTACAAGTTACAAAATTTTCAGCAGTAAAGAGTTGCGAAGAGTCGAAATAATCATGATGATTTTTATAAGTATTAGATGTTTGCGCTAAATAAGTTTGATTTTTATTCGCATTTTGGCGATTATGTTTCTTTTTACTACAGTCGCGCGCAAAATGTCCAAATTTTCCACAGTAATTACATCGAATATTTCTTTTGTAATTATTTGATTTCGCGTGAGAATCACTGTCGAAATTCGGCTTACTTGTACTTTGGCTACTTGGCGTCCTCAGATGTTCACCTCTCGTAGAAACGAACGCGGCTCCGATCGGTGTGTCCTCACCTGTTGTGGTTCTCAAATTCAAAATAGCCTCCTCGTTAACGAGATGATCCGTTAGCCGCTCGATAGTTTGATTTTCTCTCGCCACAGCATACCAAGAAGTTCTCACGTTATCAAATTTCGGTGGAAGGCTTGTAAGGATCTTCGTAATAATCACGGGGGTTTTCTGTTTCATTTCCATGTCCTTTAATCGTTGCGCAAAAGAGACAATTTTTGCGATAAAGTCTGCGACCTTTTCACAATCCTCCATCTTGCAGTTGAAGAATTTATGCAGCAACGCTTGAATAGATTGATCTCTTTTCTCGGAGTGTACAGTTTTTAAACGTGACCACATCTTAGCCGCAGTGTTACAGTCCGACAAATGTTTGAGTTGCTCCAGTTCTAAACCTCGCATTATAAATGCTTGAGCTTCTGCATCTTTCACATCCCACGTGGTAGCATTTTGATCTGTTCTTACTTCGGTACCAAGGATATATGGCTTAAGCTTATTTTCAGCCATAAAAATCTCCATTTGACGACACAAAAGATGAAAATTGTCACCATTGAATCGATGGATTTGATATATTTTCACATTATCACCCATTGTTATGCCTAGTTTTGTATCAAATGTTTTATAGTCGGCGATTCCCATACAAAAAAAATGTCACTTCAACGACTACTATTCGTGCAGATTTAATTTAAACAATTTTGTTCCAAACAGCACGTTTTTCAGCACAATCGCTTAACTAGCAAGCCACCTAGGCCTATAACCTGTTACGGTTTTAACATATGCGTATATTTATTCTCAAAACGTTGTCTACAAACTGGTCGAGACAGAGACTGACTTAAAACAAAAAGAATACATATTTATAAGGTCAAGGCGCGAACACATACACATACTTCCATACCCAGGCACACAACACATAATAAAGAAACGGATACATATATATTCTCAACAGAGAAGATAACATAAATAAAGTAATATCAGACAAGCCCAAACCTATATTCGTATACATAATCGCAGTTCATCTATTTTCTATTGCTTTATAAAATTATACACCTATATTATGTCGAAATCAAAATTAAGACTAGACACTATTTCTTTAACGCAACGTCAGCGGCGACGTATTTTCTTAAAAAAATTCCGTAATATTTGTCAAATGAGTATTAATTCAAATTTAGAAATTCAAAATAATACCGTTACTTTATCGAATGTGCCAGATAACATCGAACAATTACCCCAGCAGCAAAAAGTTTTAAAAGAAATTGATTTTGATTATTCCAATGTAATGAACACTCATAATTGTACAGAAAATAATCATGATTTAGTTTCTGAACATTCAGAAATTAGTATTGATGAAAATATTCCGCAGTCAAGTATTTCAAGTGATAAATTTTCTAAAACTGAATTTTGTAAAACAGAACTTATTAACATCAGATTATGGGCTATGATAAATCGTGTGAGTCATTCTGCTATTAGCAGTTTACTGATAATTCTATTAAAATACGGCCATGATCTTCCTATTGATGCTCGAACTCTGTTTCAAACTCCCAAACAAGTAGCCATTATTGAAATGATACCAGGAAGATATTATTATGCAGGTTTAGGTGATAGTTTGAAGAAATTTATTCGTAAATATTATTGTCGAAGTAATTTACCATCTCAGATCAATATTAATGTAAATATAGATGGTCTTCCTTTAACAAAGTCATCAGGGAGTCAATTTTGGCCTATTTTAGGTAGTATAGTTGCAGATTTTTACACCGAACCGTTTATAATTGGTGTTTATCATGGTTTTGTAAAGCCAAAATGTAACAATACTTTTTTGAAATATTTCAAGGATGATTGTTTTGAAATTTTCCGATCTGGTATTGTAGAATACGGCAAAACAATAAGTGTGAAATTGAACGTATTTAACTGCGATGCTCCTGTAAAATCGTTTATCAAGGGAATTAAAGGACATAATGCATATTTTGGATGCGGAAATTGTATTCAAGAGGGTGATTACATAGAAAGACGAGTAACGTACTCAGAAATTAATGCAATGTTAAGATCAGATGAATCTTTTAAATAAAAAAACAAGAAGAACACCATAAAATCACTTCAAATCTTGAAGATTTAAACATTGGAATGGTTACTCAATTTCCTTTAGACTACATGCATCTCGTACTATTAGGAGTAATCAAAAAATTGTTACAGTTTTGGATTAATGGTAAACGTAATGTACGTATGGTTGCAACTCAGTTAACTATTGCTTTAACTTCTTTATTATCTATGTCATTATTCCTACCTAAAGAATTTGCTAGAAAGCCAAGGAAATTAGATGAAGTTGATCGCGTTAAAGCCACTGAATTAAGACAATTATTATATACTGGGCCAATAATCTTTTTAAAAAAATTATCACGTGATAAATATGTTCATTTTTTGAGTTTGAGCATAGCAATTTGAATTTTATGTAACGAAGAATATTGCGTACAACTGCTTGATTATGCACACAGTTTATTATTGTATTTTGTTGAAAATTACGGCACATTATATGGTCGTCAATATATATCATATAACGTTCATAATTTAATTCATTTGTGTTCTTATGTAAAATTATGGGGAAAGTTAGATAAATTTAGCACGTTTAAGTTCGAAAATTACATGCAAAAAATTAAATCGAGCATTAAATCTTCGAGTCGGCCATTAAAACAATTAGTCAATCGTTGTAAAGAAGAAGATAATTTTAATATAACAAATGTAGAAAGGAATCATCCAATACCAAAAGAACGTACTGTAAATGGCAAAAAGATAATAAAATCAGTTCAATGTAAAGGTTTCTATCTAAGTACAAGAACTGTTGATAATTGTTGTCTTCTGTTAGATGGTACGAAAATTTCACTTACAACAATTTATTTTGAAAATAAACAGATTTACATTACTGACAAAAAATATTTAAATATTAAACCATTTTTTCACATTCCATGCAACTCTTTAAATATCGGAATTAAAAGAATTAACGTATCATAGTATGAGTTAATTACTGTTCCATTATCTGATATTAAATTAAAATGTGAAAAACTGCCTTTATGTGACGAAGAATATGTGGTATTTCCTTTATTGCACTAACAAGAAATATGTTTATGGCGAGTACTTATTTTGATAGAATATATAATTGAAAACAATATTAAATTATTGAATAAGTTTTCCTTTTTTACAGACTATTAATAATGGTCAAAAATTTCGCTGTCGTCACTTTTCCAAGCGATGGGAATAGTGAAGAAGAAATAATATCAGAAGTTCCATCATTATGGCTTTCTTCCAATTTCATAGAATGCTGGTGGCCGACGGTAAAAAATATCAACACCTTTATTATGAACCAAACTCTACCTGTTACAAATGATCCTAAATGGGCACTTTATCCTATAAAATTTCATGGATATTATGGTAATTTATATTTGACTTCAGAACTTACGTAATTATTATGTTTTAAAATGTTAAAAAACTAATGTAACTTGTAAATTATGGTTTTGTCCTAATCAAGATTCATTAGATGAAGCTAGACAAAGAGCAATGAATTATTCTTCTAGCGATGAAAGCAACACAAATACAATAAAAAAATCACGCATAAAACAGTCACTGAATACTATTTATTCACAACGAATCTGAATTTGATTCTGATGACTCACATTCAGTTATTCCAAATCCACCAAATCTTGAACATAAACATACAAATATCTCACAATCAGCCAGAAATATTGAATCAATCTCAAATATTATGGATTCCACAGTAATAAATAATATTGATATGGAAATTCTTGATGGAACTCTGATATCTCACAAAAGTAATTTCTATTTTAACTTTTTTATTCCATTTTTATTATCTCTATAATAAAACGGTTTTTTTGAAATTATTGTTATTACTGTTTATTATGTAAGTAATTTAATACTTTTTTAATGTTTAGGCATGCAGGATTTATATACGTTGGTGTCCGCAATGTCAGATAAAATAGAAGGTTTTGAATTTATTTTTTGTCTTATAATCTTATTAATATCTCTTCATAGCATTGTTTATTCAACATTATTAATTTTTTAGATAATTTTTAAAAAATATGTGCAGAAATAACAACAATTTCATTAAACATACAAGCTATCGATACTCGTTTAAAAAACATAGAATCACATTATAACCATCATACGTCTAAAGCATCTGCCATGGATACATCGAATATTCAAAAATCTTTTCCGTTTAAGACCATAAATGAAATAATAGCTTTTGAGCATAATTTATCAGAAAATACAGATGAGTATAACAAATATGTAAGTTTAATTAAGTTATTTAAATGCAGATTTTATTTAAATACAATAATAGAAATTATATTATTGATATGTTTTATTTTTAAAGATACAGTATATATCTCGCATAGGCGGAGGGTCCGGTAAAGAAAATTTAATTCGCATATATCGAACTTTATTTTCAAACGAAGTTGCCAAGGTTTCATCCTGGAAGGGACTACGCAACCATTTTAAAATAAGTAGTCTTAAATCCATGTTGGCAGGAATTCAAGGTAAAATAAATTTTTATATTCATAAAATATAAAATTTAATTTAATATAACATGTTTTAAATAATTCAGCAACAATTTTGGCTCAACACCAATTTACGAATAAAGACTTCGAAGACGTTACGAAGGAATGGTTTCGACAAGGTGGGCAGAGGCTCAACCGACAACGGAAAGACTCCGAAGAACCAAATGCTGTTTAAATTTGTATACAGGTTAATATTTTTTTGAATGATTTTTTTATATTTTTATTATTATATATTTTATTATATTTTATATTATTTATATTTTATATTTTTGATTTATATTACTACTATATTTTAATTATTAAATACTATATTTTGTTAATTCAAATATTTAATTCCAAATATTTAATAAATATATAACAATTTTTTAAACAAAGTTTCAAAATTTTGTCTCAATTACTACTGGTAGCTAGTTTTGGTCTCTGCGTATTTAAGTCAAATATACAGGGTGTCCCAAAAATGTTGTAACACCTTGAAAGGGGTGGTTCGGCAGGTGATTTGAAACAACTTTTTCCTTAGCAAAAATGTTGTCTGAGGCTTCGTTGAGGAGATATTAACGGAAAACACTGACTAATCAGAGCGCGAGTATGCCGGTGGAGCGGCCGTGGTAGCAAAGGCTATGCGCTTGGCGGCCGCGCTCGTACACGAACAAGTGACTCGACGTTCACGAAGGACATTGACGTGGCCGCCTAGCGCATAACCTTCGCTACCACGGCCGCTCCATCGGCATACTCGCGCTCTGATTAGTCAGTGTTTTCCGTTAATATCTCCTCAACGAAGCCTCAGACAACATTTTTGCTAAGGAAAAAGTTGTTTCAAATCACCTCCCGAACCACCCCTTTCAAGGTGTTACAACATTTTTGGGACACCCTGTATATCCCAGTATAGTTTTTATTTGTTCTGTTCGTGATTGATTTCAAAAGAGTGCGGATGTAGTATATTACCGATATATTAGACTCCATTTCTTTTTTTTATTAAATTTTTAATGTATAACACGTGTTGTCTTTTGCACAACCCTCAACCCAATCCTACATATATTATTTATCGGTATCATGTATTAAAACTAAATGTACGAAATATATTTTCTTATATAACCATTCGTTACCGTTGAGAAATACACGTTTTCAACATACATATTCGCAGAATATTCTGATTCAAGATCAAACAATATGGGATCTCCATGATAAATGCACACCTTCAATCCCGTGCTTGTGCATTTATCGAGGCATTACTGTACTCCGCTACACGCGAGCGCGTACGAATGCGAATGCGAATTCCTAACGTCTGATTCATAACTTTGCCAATGCTGTGAAATCTGGCGACCTGACGAGATTTTGTAATTAAGAAAACTTGTTGTGCTAGTCTAGCACAGTCCGGCACAATCAAAGACAATCCAGAAGTATCCAAATTTTTAATCACCTCCACCTTTTTTTATAAATTTTAGTTGACCCTCGAGCTAATCACAATTTTTAACGCACGTGTCTCGTGTATCGTAAGTAGCACAATTTAGCACAACTTACAAAATTCGATTATCTGTCGACGTTCGCAAATTGTGCGAATATTACATCTTTTATTCCTTAAAATTCGACATTTTTTATCTGCAAAATGAATAGAGATATCGAGTTTCTATCAATGGCACAATCTAGCACAAGTTAGTACGCATCTTTTTATGGGAAAAACTTTTGTTTCAGTAAAAGTGCGGGGCTAATATAATTTTGGTTTTATTTCTTTCCTTAATTGTTATTCATATTATCGATCTCTTATTTACGGCACAATTCACCACAAACATAGCACAATACGGCACAAAAAAGAAAAACTGAACATTGAAAAAGTGCGGGGCTATTAAAAATTTTGTTTTGTTCTATTTCTTTGAGTACGCTTTGACTTACAGACTTGCGGTTTACGGCACAATTCAGCACAAATATAGCACAATACGGCACAAGAAAGAAGCACTCCAAATTCGAAAAGTGCGAGGCTAACTTCACACACATCCATCGTAACCAGTTCTTCTGTGGTTTCATCCTTCGTTTTCACGCGGGCTAAATATGAACGGAACAGAACAAATACAAACTATACTGGGATATACAGGGTGTCGCAAAAATGTTGTAACACCTTGAGAGGGGTGGTGTGGTAGGTGATTTGAAACAACTTTTTCCTTAATTTCGTTGAGGAGATATTAACGGAACACACTGACCAATCAGAGCACGAAGATGTCGATGGAGCGCTCGCGGTAGCGTATGAGCGCGGCCGCCTAGCGCGTAGTTTTCGCTACCACGGCCGCTCCAACGGTATACGCGCGCTCTGATTGGTCAGTGTTTTCGGATAACATTTTCGCTAAGGAAAAAGTTGTTTCAAATCACCTCCTGAACCACTCCTTTACAAGGTGTTACAACATTTTTGGGACACCCTGTATACTTGTATGTACATCAAAGAAACACGAAACTTAAAAATGACGAATTTACATTTGAAGCTTTGTGTCCGAATGACTGTGTGCTAAAAATACTTAACAATATTTCCATTTCTTTTGTTTTCTTGTCTGTTAAAAAAAATATTTAAAGAGTTTATGTAAAGATTTTTGTGAAAGTACAAAGTACGAATATACATAAGATATATCGAGTTAAAAACGTTCGATTGGGTCGCGCAAGTTGCCATATTAAAGGTAATCGAATTTCCAACAATTGCTTCTAACATTGTTTTCCAATCGGTTTAATAGTTTAAGTGTGACGGGCCAATATACAGGATGGGCCAAAACCCTCGTAGGAGCCGAAAATGGGGGGTAGCTGAGATGATTCCGAATAACAATTTCCTTTGCAAAAATGTCGGTGGGGGCTTCATTTTTTGAATTATTAACAAAAAACCACCGAACAATCGCAGCGCCCGACTAGCGCGCGCTCAGCTGGCTACACCGCACAGTAGTCCGGATGGCCAAAAACCTGGCCAAAAATTAGAAGCAGTTTTCGGATCTTTGTGAACCTTGGTATTTTAGGGTTATTTGGGCCGCAAATTACGAATCTGGTATCAGAATTGCAAAATTCAAAATGACAGATCCAATATGGTCGACATGCATATTAAAAATATTAAATTATTATGAATTTTTTTATGAAATAGGATTTCTAGGTTTATAGGGCAACATTGTTAGAATACATTGACAGAAATAACAATAATAAATTAATGTTAAATTAAAATTAAGGATTATGGTTTGTTTTAATGCCGCGTAAACAGTCTTCTTTACCTTATAAGCATGTTCTTTAAATTTAAATAACTTAAAATGGTGCAAATTTGCGCAAGTTTTCTCAATTGTATATCATATCTGACATGTTACTTTATATCAAGAAACTTGACAGAGCGTGTCACTCGGTGACTATCATCTTTGTTTTCCTTCTGATTCATAGAAAGATAACTAAAATTTATACCATATTGAGAAGGGAATTACAATAGTGAATCCAAAGATATTTTACTTTGTTCTTGTGGAAAGTTTATGTTTATAACATCTACTTTTATGGTAAAATGATTTACATATGAATCTATTGAAGATAAACTTTCTGTAATACAATAAACATGCGCCACTTTTCACGATATCAAGGAGCATGAAATTTCGTCAACTTTGAGCCTCTGTATATCAGTAACCGATTACTATTTTTTTAAATTTCAACACACAACACAGTATACAACACACGCACAATATTGAAAAAAGTGTGTTCGAAACTTCAAAAATTGCATTTTGGCCAGGTTTTCGACCATCCGGACCACTGTGTGACGTAACTAACCAATCCTGGCTCGAGCTTACGAGGCGAGGGTGATCGGTCGGTATTTTTGGTTCGTCCTATTGACGTGGGTAAAAGTGGAGGCACGAAATAAAAGGAGAATAAAAATAAAAGAAGTGCAAGCAGGATAGAGCAGCAGCGACAGGGAAAAATTGATGGACCAGGATGGCAAAGTTCTCCGTCTTCACTTTTCCATCGCCTTGTACGAACAAAGAGGGTACGAGTATAAAGTTGGGGCCCTTCCGCCATCAGTTCAAAAGTCTTCTACCAGTTCTCTTCGCTTCCAACGGGAATCGTTTGAGGATTATCGAGCCCCATCCGCAGGAGGACGTAGGAGTTTTAGAATGGAGAACTCGCGTTCATCGAACTCCTCGGATATCTCTTGCTTACTATGGAGAGGGAGGCAAAAATAGAAAGGAAGAGGACAACGGAGGGAGAGAGCGAAGAAAGTTCCTTCAACGGTCAGAAGTAACTCGGTTGTCAAGGATCGCCGCGGGCCATCGAGACATTTTAATTTCCCGGAGGGTAACTCGCAGACACCAAAGCGTGCTCGGTCCACGATTTTAGGTCATAATCTGTTCCCTTTTATTCACGATGATTGCGAACTTTATAGCGAAGATTAAAATGGTTTCCGCTACGGCGAAAAGCGGAGCGTTCCGCTTGCGACCCTATGCTTTAGAGAGTTCCAACAGTCGCTTTTTAAACCCAAACTTTTCACCTTGTCCCATCGTATCACCCATTTTTTACACGTAGAAGGAGGACTTTCGATAGAAAAACAATTAATCGGTAAACTGTTTAAATTGTTTTCACATCGAAAAAGCGGATTTAAAAAATATTAAAAATTAACGAAGTTAGCTCTTGGGAGGTTAAAAAATTGTTTATAACTGTTAATTTATTCAACTTCAAACGAAACGAAAATCACTACAGACAACTACAAACGATTCTGAATCACGTGGAAAAACAGATTTGAGATATCTCGAAGTCGGGTGCGGTTCATTTTCTCAAATTCTTTTTATTTAATAATTGAAAAAAAAACTAAAAAGAAAATTGTTGTTAATACAATTAACTATAAACGAAATACTATCATTTTATATAAAAAAAAGTTAATTTTTTGGAAGTCGCCAGGTTCGCAACGCTTTTTAAAATGTACTTAAATAAAACTTTTCATTTCACTGTGATTTAACACTGACTAAAAACATCTCGACAGATGAATTAATGTGGTAAAACCGAGTTCCAATGCTTACTTTTCCTTTTTGGAGGAGTAGGAAATCTCTTTCTGGCGTTGGTTGGGTAGGGAAAAAGGACCCTTAGTTTCAAGTGGGGTCCCCTTCAAGTATCTGGCGCACGGAAATCCTTCTGATGTGGACCGACAGTAGGTCGGATAGCGTTCGTACGCGTCCAGGGCCCGCTCGCACGCATAAACGATGCTTACTGACTGCAGCAGCCGTGCGTCGAGACCTTTTTACGCCGAAAAATGCTCCGTGTGGACGGGTTTTGGGCGGAATTTCACGCGTCCGCAGGCCCGTGCGTCGAACCGTTCGTGCGTCGAAAAATGCTCTCGTGAATACGTACCTTTATAACGTGATGACCTCAAATAAATCGTAAGGTATTTGTTGTACGACAAAATGTTTCAAACAAAAGTTGCATGGTATCTAAGGGGACATA